CCCCAAAACCCCAAAACCCCAAAACCCCAAATTGCTTGAAAAATTGAAAGATAATATAATATTTCTGAAAAAGATTATATGATAAGAGTCATAACAACATTATTATGGCTTTGATATTCAGCCAATGCATTTGTGGGGAATAAAATTACGCCTCCTTCCAAACTACACACACAAAAGATTGGGCTAAATCAATCTGAAGTAAGTCTGTACAACAGCTTGACTAAGAGAAGAGCTCTTCCTTGAGGAGATGGTGTTCTTGATGCGGGAGAACTTTGTGATGATAGAAATACAAATCCAGCTGATGGATGATCAGCAGATTGTCTCACTCTTGAAGCTGGGTTTGAGTGTCCCAACCCTGGTCTTCCCTGCGTAGAGATCTGCGGAGACGCAGTTGATGGAGGTACTTATGAGTGAGATGATGGTAATACATCTCCAAACGATGGTTGTGATGATAAATGCAGGCTTGAAGCTATTGGCTTTGACTGTCCCACCGTCAAACCCTTTCCAACAGTCTGCACAGAAATCTGTGGAGATGGCATGAACTTTGGAAATTATCCTTGAGACGATGGTAACACTGTAGGAGGTGATGGATGCAGCGCAACATGATCTGTTGAAAAAGGATTTTGATGAGACAAAGAAGGTTGCAATGATATCTGTGGAGATGGCCTCGAAGGAGGAGGTACCCATGTCTGTGATGATGGAAATGTTATCTTTGGAGATGGTTGCGATCATAGATGCGAATACGTTTCAGGATTTACCTGTTCAGCAACCTTTCCGACCACTTGAGTTGAGAATTGTGATTCTGAAGATTGGTATTTTAACGCATGAGAAGATTACAACGGTGTTAATGGAGATGGTTGTAGTAATACCTGTGAAGTCGAGCACTCCTATCAATGAGAAGAAGGAGATCCCTTGAACCCAGATGTCTGAATAGAAATCTGTGGTGACGGTTATGATTTCTTCAATTACCACTGAGATGACGGTAATTATAACTCAGGAGATGGCTGCAGTGTCCTTTGCCTCCCAGAAGTTGGCTACGAATGAGTCAATGGAACAAACGACAAGCCTGATGTCTGCCCAGAAATCTGTGGAGATGGCCTTAATTTTGGATGGTATGAATGTGATGACGGAAACCTTATCAACGGAGATGGCTGTGATGACACCTGCCAAGTGGAATTTAGATGGAGATGCTACGATGGTACTCCTACAAGAAAAGATACATGAGAAGAAAAATGTGGTGATGGAATTGATCTCAAAATTAATGCTTGCGAAGACTCAAACGTCCTCGAATGGGACGGCTGCAACCGCTATTGTAATATGGAAGAAGGATGGGTCTGCACAGGTGGCAACGTCACCCATGCAGACATTTGCTCAGAAACATTCGGAGATGGTTGCAGAGTTGGAACTGAAGAATGAGATGACAATAATTTAATCAATGGTGATGGATGCAGCTCACTTATGAAAATTGAAACTGGCTATGTTTGCACTGGAGGGAATCTTACTACAAGCAAAGATGACTTTTGCACTGCTGCTAACTACACAGTTTCAGATACAACCTGTGCCTGAATATCCACAGAGAAAGATACATGCACAGAAATTTGTGGAGACGGTCTTAACGTCGGAGTCTGGGAATGAGACGATGGAAATAACAGGAATTATGACGGATGAAACTCTGTATGCACTATAGAAGACGGCTGGGAATGATCAGGAGGAAGTAATATTACAGCAGATACTTGAATTATGAAGCCCAGACCCTATGTTGAAGATGTCTTTGTCAGCCTCAATGGTAGTGTCGTTATTGTCTGGTTTAATGAGAAGATGAAATTGTACACAGGATGGAATGAATCAGATTTTAATATGTATATCACAGGAGATCAAGAAGTATATAACTTTACTTGGTCATTAAGAAATGCTACTAGCTTGCAAGTAGTTGGCAATAATGAGTTTTATTTTGATATTGATGTGAAAGATCAGATAGCAGGGTATGGTCACGAGAGAATAAATATACAATTTAATAATGATCAGTACTTTGGTGCAGAAGCGACTACATTAAAACTACTGAATTGGACAGTTTCTACTCATTTGCATCAGCAAGCTTCAAAGCAAGATGATCAATGTGGAATTAAGTATCCTATCTATTTATTCTGGTTATCATTTGCATGAATGGTCTTTGTTGTAATGTTTTACTCATACAGGTATATGAACTCGATGACTCCTCTTTGGTTAATAATTTCTTCTTTCCAGATCCTCTTCATGCACTGAACAATGGATCTCTATATTCCGACTTGATTATTAGACTTCTATAGAGGTATTGGGAAATTAGTCTTCCTCGAACTGCCTGCACTTAGAAACATTGTGACACCAGCTCACAAGGACGGGCTCAGTCTTAGGTTTAACGATACAGGGTTTGACTCACCTGTATTTCTCGCCAATGCGATCTGAGGTATTTTTGTCATATTTTTCTTGATACCTCTTATGCTTGTCAGATATCTCAGAAAGAAGAACATCAAAAATGAAAGATTACTTGAAGTGCTCAGAAGATACTGGCAGCAATGGATAGTCGTTATACTTCTCTTAATCTATGCTAGGCTTAGCTTCGCATGAGCCATTAATTTTGAAATAATGACTATCCTGGACTCTGATATTTTGACAGCATCCTCTGTCCTGACAGTCTATTGTGCTATGTCTCTCATAATGCTGCTTCTTTTTTTCTTATATGTTGGGGTTCATACCTACCACAGAACAAAGGATGATCGAATCTCAATAGAATTAGGTAACCAAAGACCTAAAATGGCTCATGGGTCAATGGACCCATCCCTTCCTGCGACTAGAATCATGGTGTACATGTTGGAAGATATTGACATCAGAAAGGGCCCTGCCCCATTCCACTACGTCCTATACTTCTTAAGACTAACAATATGGGCATTTGCGTTAGTCAAGCTCAGAAGAGATGAAATTGCAGCTCTTTGATTACTCACAATAATGAACACGATTTACCTTCTCTGGATGATCCATGTGAGACCATACAAGACTAATCTGAACAACAGGTTGGGTATTTTTGTCGAAATGTGAACTCTTCTAATAACCCTGCTAATCTTCCCTTACATCAGAGCTTGGCCACCGAGGGATATCTTCATTGACTTCGCTAGGTACCAGTTCTTGATCATCTGGATTATGGTACTAGGCGTGACATTCATAATAATAGCAGACCACATTTGGAAGAGATTCATTTCTAAAGAAGATTACTACCAAAAACCTCACAGAACGATTTTCCAAAGTAGGCCTCGCCTTAAGAAAGCAAAGAAGATTCCAATCCCAGAGCCAGTCATCAATGAGGCTGAAGGTGAAGGAGAGGAATCAGAAGAGGAAAAAGAAGAAGAGAAAAAGGAGCAACCTAAGGAAGAGACTAAAGAACCTCCCAAGGGACAACCTTCAGCAACGTCTAGTTATTACACTGAGGGGGAAGAGTCTGAGTATGAAAGCGGAACTGAGAGAGGTAAGTCATTCTCATGTCAGAAGTTACTCATGTTATTGGCATCATTTATAAGTCTTTAACCCTCCATGTACTACTTTAAGAGCATTAGCTTGTCTAGCTTTTGAAGTTTACAAAGATGTTTTCATCATTAGGACTTTCAATAAGGTTTATGAAGGAGCTTAGCATTCTGGACTCTTATAATAAGACTTAAAACTTTATATAGACACCTCTAGACCTAGAAGAGATAGCATTAATGAAGAAAGCAAGGATTCTGGTCCAGAAGTCCTATACGAGAAGCCTAACAACGCAGATGATAACATCGAGATGAACATCCTCTCTGCAGATGTGAATTTAGCCAATGAAGCGACTGGGGCTGATTTCGGAGTTGGAGGCTCTTACAATAAAAATGTTGATAAATCCTAATTCAATTAAAGAAATTTATTGAGGGGTTTTGGGGTTTTGGGGTTTTGGGGTTTTGGGG